GCAGCTCCAGCTGCTATCCTGAAAGTGAGACTGAAATCTTACACCCTTTTTCCTTACGTTAAAATTGATTTCGGCATACACTTCTGTAATTTTTAAGACAGTGCCCATCTGGAAGGTCAAGGAACATTTGGATACAGCAAAGGAGTTGTGTCACACAGGTTAGGACCAGGACAGCTCCAGGGCCTGGTAGGTAGGAAGGCTAGCTCCTTCCTCCCTCCCTCCCTCCCTCCCTTCCTTCCCTCTCCTTTCCTTTCCTTTCCTTTCTTTCCTTCCTCCCTTCCCTCCTTCCTTCCCTTTCTTTTTTCTTTCTTCTTTCTTTTTCTTTCTCTTTTTCTTTTCTTTTTTCACTTTCTTTCTCTTTCTTTCTTTTTCTTCTTCTTTCCTCTTCTTTCTTTCTTCTTTCTTTTTTTTTCCTTTTTTTCTTTTTGAGACAAGATCTCACTCTATCACCCAGGCTGGAGTCCAGTGGTGTGATCATGGCTCACTGCAGCCTCGACCTCCTGGGCTCAAGTGATCATCCTGCTTCAGCCTCCTAAGTAGCTGGGACCACAGGTGTGTGCCACCATGCATGACTAATTTACTTAAAATTTTTTTTTGTAGAGATAGGGTCTTGCTATGTTACCAAGGCTGGTTGTGAACTTCTGGCTCAAGTGACCTCCCTGCCTCAGCCTCCCAAAGTGCTGAGACTACAGGCGTGAGCCAACCACACCCCGCCTGGAAAGGCTAGCTTCAGAAAAGCCTACTTATGGGCACCAGCTTTCCTCCAGAAGAGCATCTCCATGAGTATAAGTCTTCTCTGGGCAAACTCAAGGAATTCCTGACCCACCCTGACAGAGAGGGGGTAAGCGAGATGCCCTAATCCTGGGCCTTCAGACCAAAGATTCAGCTGGTGGCTAACATAAAACAAGCCTGCAGCATGTTCGACAGCACTTGTCTCAGATCTTCTTACCTAGCTTCTCCATTTCATTTCAGGCTCCACTCCTTCAAAACACTGGCTTCCAACCCTCTTTCCTATTCCAGTCTTGTAGGACTTCCTTGGATATGTCTCACGGTCATTGTATCTTTCTTCGTAGTTTTTGTTGATTTAGATAACACCAGGCCACATTCAGCCCTAAAGGGACCCCTCCCTGCCTTGGCTTGTTTTGTCATTGCTTTGTCATTGCCATCATCCAGGCCTGTCAGGACACTCCACAGCAGGTGGTGGGACAGAGCGGGTGAGCTTACGCCAGGAAGGAACAAATGTATTTGCAATGACAATGAGCTAGGAGGAATGCTACCACCACCTTCCAGCCTCTCTTGAGCTGGGGGAGACTGAGCCACTTCCTCTCCAGGGTTTCACAGGCCACAGAGCACTGGGAGGAGGACCAGAGTTGAGTGCAGGAAGATGGTGACAAGGTATTCAGTAAGGACTCTGGTGTTCCAGGCTGGTTTGTATAGATACCATGGAACGTCCAGAAGGTAAGTTGGAAGCATGGCATAGCGGGTAAAGGAGAACAAAGCCGAGAGTTGCTGAGCAAAGTCTTGCATTTAGGATGGGCAGCAGAACACAAGAGGAGGGGTGGCCTGGTGGGCATGGCTGGTGCAGGTGCATGGCAGGTGACACCTAAGGCCTAAAGAGGCAGGAGTCTGATGGCCTAAGTCTTCACCAGACAGCCCTGGTGGAAAGTTATCCTCAGCTGTGATTCGAGAATCTTGGAGCCTGTATTTGAGAGTTAGGACTGGAGAAGTATGAAGTATAGGATGAGACCACCCCTTGGAGGGTTTGCTTGGGTGAGTATGAGATGGTGTTGGGCCCCCTCGGGATATTCCTCTTTAATGGACTGGTCTGCAGTGTGTATGGCCCAGTGAAAGATGCTCCCTCATTGTACTTTAGAAAAAAAGAGGAGAAGCAATTTCAAGAAGGCCAAAGGCAAGAGGAATTTCCCTCCATATACATCCTTAGAATAAAAGGTGACTTCAGGTTGGGCACGGTGGCTCACGCCTGTAATCCCAGCACTTTGGGAGGCCAAGGCAGGTGGATAACCTGAGGCCAGGAGTTTGAGTCCAGCCTGATCAACAGAGTGAAACCCCGTCTCTACTAAAAATACAAAAACTTAGCTGGACCGTGGTGGTACACCCCTGTAATCCCAGCTACTCGGGAGGCTGAGGCATGAGAATCACTTGAAGCCAGTAGGCAGAGTTTGCAGTGAGCCGAGATTGCACCACTGTACTCCAGCATGGGTGACACCTTGTCTCAAAAAAAAAAAAAAAAGAAGAAGAAGAAAAAAAGGGTTACTTCAGTCCAGAAAAGCAATATTCTACCTTCAGGGTCATTCACCCTTGGTAGAATAGAGCCTGGAAATTTATCTGTACGGTTACTTTCCTAAGCAAATGAGCTGGGGGGTTTCTGAGGCAACTGACCTCCATCTTTTGTTTCTGTATATTTTAAAAGAGAAATCGATGATGGGTGGATCAAGCTCTCTCTTGTCCCCAGAGACATAGTTCAAGTATTCTTATTCAAGCATTTTTTGCTTTCAGGTTTTCTTGGCTAGAGGATTCTAAGACCTTTTGACTTTAGCTTGATTTTCTCAAGTTATCTCTCAAAATTTTTCACTAACAAAGCTCCTTCCTCAAGCAGTAGTTTATAGAGGCCACAATACAGGAATCAGAAAAACTTAGGATTTTATTAGCATATATTTATTTTATAACTTCACATTTATAACATTTTACTTTGTATACTGTCAATAAATGACAATGAAACCATTTTCATAAATATAAAAACACATGAAATTAGGGAGTCATGGTAACCACCGCATCACTTTGGTCAAACAGTATTAAAAATATAATTTAGAAAGATAAATGATCACAAGTGATACCTTTAAAAAAATGCTTTTCTTACAATCTCAGGATATTCTTCAGTTAAACTGAACCACAATCAGAAAAAATAAGTAATTATTTAAAAGTCAAACCTCTCACAATTGTCAACAACTGCTGGAAGAGTCATCACAAATATAAAAAACAACAAGCACTCAAATTTACAATAAGAGCTGAAACGGTTTCTAACACCATGGTAGACTGGAAGTCAACTGGAAGCATATTAACTTGTGACTGCACAACTGTCAGGACAATAAAGAAAGCATGCATTGAATTGAGCAGACAGCAACATCATGAAAATCCTAAGCGCTTCAATGTATTGAGGGCTTTCCGTGTTCCAGATGTCATGCAACGTGCTTTAAAAGCATTAAGTCATTTGTTCATAACAACCGTGTACTCTCATCTTCTTATTTTTCAGATGTGGAAACTGATGTCTAGAGAAGCTAAGCAATTTGCTTACAGTATGCACAAATCTACCACGAGACTACACAGCAACTGTGTTGGAGCTTTGCCTAGCACATATAACTAAATGGTGCTCATCTGCACTGCACTCACACACTTACGTGATACACAGGTCTGACCTAAATACACAGGTCTGATCTAAACAGCCATGTGGTACTACCGCTTTTAAAATCTATGAACAATTAAAAGTTCAGATACGTACACAGACACCATAAAGGAAACTTTGCTCTAAGGTCTACACAAAATGAGCCTATCTGGAAATAAACGCAAACCTGGTGGTGAATGCTTCTGTGTTAAAATTTGGTTATCAGCCCATTTGAATCTAGCTGTTATTTACTAGAGATTTAAAGAGTTTAGGCCGGGTGTGGTGGCTCACACCTGTAATTCCAGCACTTTGGGAGGCTGAGGTGAGCGGATCACTTGAGGTCAGGAGTTTGAGACCAGCCTGGCCAACATGGCGAAACCCCGTTTCTACTAAAAATACAAAAATTAGTCGGGCATGGTGGCGGGCGCCTGTAATCCCAGCTACTTGGGAGGCTGAGGCATGAGAATCACTTGAACCTGGGAGGCAGAGGTTTCAGTGAGCTGAGATTGTGCCACTGTACTCCAGCCTGGGCGATAGAGCAAGACTCAGTCTCAAAATAATAATAATAACAATTAAAAAAAAATAAAGAGTTTAAAATACATTTTGGAGATGGAACTACTAGAAAATCTCTGCAGAACTGCAGAGCACAATGTGAAAGTCATCAAGATGGTGGAGGGTGGACTAGTGTGAGTCAAAGTTCTGGGCTTCTGTCTAGGCTCCATTACTTCTTAGCATTTTGGTGTTGAGGAGACCACTTAACCCATCTGAGCTTCAGTTTCTTTTTCTTTATAAAGAGCAAAATTATACCACAACAGGGTGGCTGTATACATTCAGTGAGATATACATGAAACACCTTGCACACAGTAGGCCCTCAATAAATGTGAGTTCCTTTTCTCTCCTCTTTGTCCTTTGTTGCCACTAAAAATCTTCTCTAAGCAAACCAGCCTGCTCACTAAATCCAAACCTGCCCTAAACACCTCTGCTCTTGAGCATGCTGTCCCCTTACGTCCCCCATTCTCTGGGGACACCTCTCAGGCTGTGGACCTCTTGAAAGCAGAACTTAGGTTGAGTCATCTGTGTCTTCAGGGCCCGACACAGCACCTAGTTCTGGGACCATCTATCTGACACCTAGCAGAAAGGCAGGAAGAACACTTCCCAGGTTAAAACAACACAATAACGACAATATCAACAAAAACCTGCAAGCGGAGATGGTCCTATTCACTGGGTGATGACACTTTTATTGGGGTGATGAACTTAATTCACACAAAGGATTAGTTAGCCTTTTACCTGTCTAGATCATCTCCTCATCTAGACTGGAACCTGTCTGAGGGCAGGGCCCATTTTGTTGGTTTATAACTGCTCAACTGTAGGTTATAGCTGTAGTCTTGTAACTCCTTGAACTGTGTCTCACAAAGCCAGGTACTCAGGGAGAATTTGCTGATTTAAGGAAGCGAAACACCTGACAAGTCAAACAGCTTTATTTTTCAAACATATTACAAAAGGTTTTTTTTTTTTTTTTTTTTTGACTGCCAATTCTTTCTTCTATGGTATGGGCCAATTCTGGTCTACTTGGGATTATGTAAAGAAAATTGGAAGTACAAGTGTTTCAGATTCCTTCAGGCTTACTATCTAATATTTGGAGTTTAATCTTTTGTTCATTAATAATCTACAAAGGGTCTAAGAAACTCCTAGATATTTTTTCTTAAAAAGAAAAATCAAGGGCCAGGCATGGTGGTTCATGCCTATAATCCCAGCACTTTGGGAGGCCAAGTTGGGCACATCATTTGAGCCTAGGAGTTCCAGACCAGCCTGAGCAACACAAAACCCTGTCTCTACCAAGAAACAAGAGAATAGTTAGGTGTGGTGGTCCATGCCTGTAGTCCCAGGTACTTGGGAGGCTAAGGTGTGAGGATCACCTGAGCCTGAGCCTGGGAAGTCAAGGCTGCAGTGAGCCACTGCACTCCAGCCTGGGTGATAAGAGTGAGACTCAAGAAATAAAGAAGAAAGAGAAAAAGAAAAATAGGAAGGAAGGCAGGAAGGAAGGAAGGAAGGAAGGAGAGAAGGAGAGGAGAGAAGGAGAGAGGGAGGGAGGGAGGCAGGGAAGGAAGGGAGGGAGGAAGGAAGGAAGGAAGGAAGGAAGGAAGGAAGGAAGGAAGGAAGGAAGGAAAGGAAGGTCAATAATTGGCTGTCATGCTTTGATTTTAGTCCCATACATTAAAGAAAAAAAAATTTAAAGGTCTTAGCCTAGTAAAGTGAATGTCCCTAGGCCCACTGGCTATGGGTCCTGCCCCCAGGTGGTTTTCAGTCGTCCCCTTCATGATTCCAGCCGCCATAGCCATCTCCTTCCTCTGGCTCTTCGATACTCTCATTCTCAAAGGAGGCCTCTTCCTCCTCTTCTTCCCGTATTACCTTCATTAGCTCAAGGAAGTTGGGGGGCGGGCCCTGATCCTTCAGCTCCCTAAGCCGGCACCACAGCATCTGGTTAAGAGTGGCCCCAGCCATGACCTGCTCCAGGCGGACCTGGTCCGCAATACGCCGAGGGATGGCGCGTTTCTCCACCGCTCTTCGGAGCAGGGTTTCTAACCGTAAGACATAGGCTGAGACCTTCTCTCCTTCCTCCTGATAGGTCTTCAGATACCTCACCTGGGCTGTCCTGCGGCTCTCTAGGCTCCCAAACACCTGCTTAAAGGCCTCCAAACACTCTTCTACACTGATGGACGGGTTGTCTGCCTGCACTATGTGCATGAGGTCCAGGGCAGGGCCCCGCAGGCTTTCTGCCAGCCACCTTTTCTTTTCTGCCTCTGTTACTGGCCACTCTTTGACTATCTCCGTGGCCTGTTCCAACCAGACCTCAAAGGGCTCTTCCTCTGGGGCTGGGACAGCACTCCCAGAGAATACTCGCAGTTTCCGGTATCTCATAGGTAGCAGGGGCTGAGGCGCCTGTGCCATTGCCTGTCCCAACAAATGGGCCAGTAATTCTGGTGAGATGCAGGGCACTGTGGCTGGAGACATGCCCTCGTGCCCCAGGGCTCGAAACATACCTGAGACCGTCTGCCCCTCTTTTTCTAGAAAGAGGTTCAGTCTTTCCAGAAACTCAGTGTCCTGATTAGGGGTCTTAAAGACCACCTTCCAGACACCCCCCTTTCCCTGGACCTCACTGGGAATGGCCGAGACATCAGTATCTTCCAGAAGCTCTAGTAAGACAGCATTGGCATTCTCCTGCTTCCGGAATATCTTGCCAAGCAGTCTATAACTGCCCAGAGACTTTAAAGTCTCCTGAAGGACCTCCTGAATCTCAGCCTCCTCATAGTCCGCCGGTATCCCCGTAACCATCAGTGACTTCTGCTCATCCACACTCATTATCCTGCACCAGTCCTCTAACAGCGCCAGCGCCATTGTCCCAAGAACTGACCCCCTCTGACTCTACGGGCACCAATTTGTTAGTGGGGCAGCTATGCACTGACTTAGTATTGAAAATATCCTGAATGAGCGTCTAACCTTAGAACCCACCAGTGAATGAGTCCCAGACTAGGTCACTCAAAGACAGTCCCAAAGTTTTCTGGACAAATGACCCTGGCCTCCTCAGTGGCAAGAACTCGGGACTTCTTGTCTTTAGACCTGACCCAGGTGGGCAGGTTGTATCTCAGTTCTAACCACACCTCTGTCCGCAGCTCTGAAGTTTGGTTGCGGATGATCTTCTCAAAGATGCTGGCAGCCACGTGGCGCTGACCCTTCTGGGATAGTTGAGGCACCTGGGTCAACTGCTTTCTCCACAGCCTCCTGGTCTCCGATGTTTCGTCTCTCTCCAGTTGGTGGGAAAATGCCTTCCACTCTGGTACCCAGAATTCTTGGAGAGAAGCCTCCCAGCAGGGTGGCTTGGAACCCTAGTGAAACAATGTTCAGTTTTACTACATAGTGCTCTCTTTCCCTGGAAGCATCCATACTCTAGTCTGGAATGGAACTGGGGGTAGATGGGGGTTCTGCTTCACACTGTGCTTGCATTCATCCCACTCTTGTCACACCCCTTGTTTGCTTACTGTGACTTTTTTTCTCCTGAGGACTCCAATGAAATCTGGCGTTCCCACCATATGCTCATCAGACCTGTTGATTAATGTCTGAGCCCCAGTTAAGGACAGGATTCAAGGTCTTTGCCATGTGAAAGATGAAATCAGGAGATGGGGCTAAATACCTGTTTATGTGTTCCCAAGTGTTCCGCAAGAGGTGAGGAGCTTATTTATTCATTCACCTTTTAGCACAGGAAGACGTCACCCACCTCCACACAATGGTGTGTCTGGCTCTTAGCTCCAGCCAAGCCAAGCTGCCCTGTTACACATAAATAAGAAGAACAGGTATTTATGCTTCATTAATATTCAGCAGGAAGACTGTTAATGCACTTATTCAAAAATAGGACAATCTTTCACAATACTACTCAGTATTAAGTTGCTTTACCTCTTTGATTAACAAAACTAATTAGGAATCACTCAAACGTTTAAAAATAGTTTAATCTAGGTATAACAATTCGGGGGAGAAAAACCTCAGGGCCGACTAAGTTAAATTGGGAATTATGAATTAATTCTCTCTTGTTGTCTCTGGAAGGTTTTGCAAACACACATTTGGGCTTTGCTTTTGCTATGAACAGTAAGTGAAATAGTTTGAATGTTTGTCCCCTCCAAATCTCATGGTGAAATGCGATCCCCAGTGTTGAAGGTGGGGCCTGGTGGGATGTGTTTGTGTCATGAGAGTGGATCCCTTATGAATGGCCTGGTGCCTTTCTTGGGGTAATGAGTGGGTTCTTGTTCTATTAGTTTCCTCGAGATCTGATTGTTAAAAACAGACTGGCACCTCCCTCCCCTCACTCTTGCTCCCTTTCTTGCCACATCTGCTCCCCTTTTGCCTTCTGCTATGACTGGAAGCTTCCTGAGGGGTCACCAGACGCAGATGCCAGCACCATACTTCTTGTACAGCCTGCCGAACTGTGACCCAAATAAGCCTCTTTATAAATTATCCAGCCTCAGGTATTCCTTTATAGAAACACAAAATAGACTTAAGACAGTAAGTTACTAACACAACACTCCCCAAGCATTTGTTTCTGTTTCTGTTTCTGTTTTTTGAGACAGGGTCTCACTCTGTTGCCTAGGCTGGAATGCAGTTGTGTAAACACAGCTCACTGTAGCCTTGACCTCTCCTGGGCTCAAGCAATCCTTCCACCTCAACCTCCTGACTACCTGGGACCACAGGCACATGCCACCATGCCTGGCTAGTTTTTAAATTTTGCATAGAGATGGAGTCTCCCTACGTTGTCCAGCCTGGTCTCAAACTCCTGGGCTCAAGCAATCATCCCACCACAGCCTCTCACAGTGCTGAATTATACACATCAACCACCACACCCAGCCTTTCTTAACATTTGAACTTTAACCCATCATTTGAGAAAAAAGAAAAAAGGAGGAAGCACGCCTATCAAGGAGTTTGTTCTGGAGAACATGTGGGGATTAGAGAACATAAAAAAGTTAAGAGTTGTCCAGGCTCGGTGACTCACGCCTGTAATCCCAGCACTTTGGGAAGCTGAGGTGGGTAGATTACCTGAGGTCAGGAGTTTGAAACCAGCCTGGCCAACGTGAAGAAACGCTGTCTCTACTAAAAATACATAATTTAGCTGGGCGTGGTGGTGCGTGCCTGTAATCCCAGCTACTTGGGAGGCTGAGGCAGGAGAATCGCTTGAACCTGGGAGGTGGAAGCTGCAGTGAGCCGAGATCATACCACTGCACTCTAACCTGAGTAACAGAACGAGACTCTGTCTCGAAAAAAAAAAAAAAGTTAGAGTTCCTAATACCTCCCAGTTACTGCTGCGGAGTATGTGTTAAGGGGCTACAACCATTTCCCCCTTGGCCTAAACATCTTCATCAACTCGAATGGGGGCCATACTCCACAGTGCTGTCCTGTAACTCTATCAGGAGTGCTCCTGCTGTGGGCACATCTCCTCAGTCTTCTGGGAGGTGCTGAAGGCACCAGCGGTGCCAGAGAGCCAGGAGGGCAAAATGCTGCTTCACCCAGGAGTCTCACAGACCTGAGACTGCTGACTTCTCCATGCCTGACATTTCCTTTCTAAAATGTGGGGGCTGTGGGGGAGGGGCAAGTACAGTGGCTCATACCTGTAAACCTAGCACTTTGGGAGACCAAGGCGGGAGGATCACTTGAGCCCGGGAGTTTGAGACCAGCCTGGGCAACACAGTGAGACCCTGTCTCTACAAAAAGGAAAATAAAAAAATTAGCTGGGCGTGTGGCAGTCGCCTGTAGTCCCAACTACTTGGGAGGCTGAGGAGGGAGCCGAGCGGATAAAGGCTACAGTAAGCTGCGTTTGCACCATTGCATTCCAGTCTAGGTGACAGTGTGAGACTCTGTCTGAAAACAAAAACAAAAATAAAAAAACAACTGGGGGCAACCTTCCTCCCCACTGGGATATTTAGAGGAAACAGGGAATGTAAAAAGATACTGCCCAGGAAAAAGCATCTCTACGGTCTACAGAATGACTGCCATGCTGAAGTTAGGCTGTCTTCGGATGACTCTTCCTCCCAATGTGACCTGCAGTGTGACATTCAAATAAAAACATGGCAAAAAACACCCTTGATACACAATAGGGCCATGGATGGAAATATCTGGATACGGTAGAAATAGAAGAACTTTGTATTTTCTCACATAAAGGGGGTCACAGGACAAGCTGGAAAAGAAGCCAGACTTTGAGGTGGAAGACCTCACTGGAATTGGTGGATCATTTAACTAAATACCCAACCTTGGCGATGCGCCCCAAGCTCTCTTAATCTGTTTCTTAACCTGGAAAGCAGTGCTGATAAGGCACGCATCTCAGAGGGGCTGTGAGGAGGAAATGATGTAATTCATTTCCTTGGAATGAAGAAGGAAGAGCTTTTTTCAAATGCTTTATTCAAATGCAAAGCACATCTGGCGCTAAGTCCAAAATGCGCCCTCGGGTTCTCTCAGCCCCTCCACTCCTATATTCTTCTTCCTCAGTCTCTCTTTCTCATCCGGAGACGCCTTTCCACCTATCACGGTGGGCTGATCTTCAAACTGCGACTGGTTGTCAACCAGATGTAACTCTATTCACCAAACTATCTCTCACAATTGGATGGTGGGGGTGGTTGGTAACCGCATTTAATCCTGGGCTGACAATGGGATTGGATTCCTGGTTACATGGCCCTGCGCGGTCGCCCTGCGGTAAATGGCCTCTCAGCCCAAACCCACCCTGGTTTACTGAGCATGCCCAGACCTCCCTCCCGGGCCACCAAAGGAGGGGTACCGTTTCTGCAGGATTTTGCCACTGTGGAAAGAGAGGCGGAGCTGTCATCGCGCAGAGGCAGGGACTGATACGCGGAAAGGACGTGGAGATGGGAATAAGTAATGAAGGACCCGCATTGACCGTGTTAGCACACAAATCTAATTGCCCTCTGGTGCAAACTTACCACCCTGTGGCCGTGGCTCAGCTACCTGCACACACACACCAAGTTCCTACACACCTTTCCCTCGCTTGGCCCCACACAATTCATGGCACTCACAGCCCACATCCTACCTCCTTCTCCGCACCAGATACGCACCCGCACTCACTCCCCAAACACGTGGCATCTGGTAACCTGGGAAACGCCGCGGCTGTGGCGCACTGCGCAACAGGGGCGGGGGAATCAGGCGGGGCACTGGGGCGAGGGAAGCTGGAGATTTGGGGAGGGGGTTTCTATTTGTTTTTTCGCCCACTTTTTGTTTTTTGTTTTTTTGGTGGGGGAAGCAGAATAAACCAAACCGCGACACGTTCCTGCGCCCTTCTTGGTGCAGTGGCGCAGACATGGTCCATGGCGCCTTGGGCAATAGAGCAGGTCTGCACCCCCTCTCTTAGTCGTGGCACTGGGCTGGAATTCCCGACTGCACCCTTTGCTACACCCCCATAGACCACAGACCTGCGTCTCTCTCTATGTTCCTCTCCCATCTGCTACGCCCCTCTGCATTTCTTCCCGCCATGTTGTGTGTCCCCCAACTCCCCCGTCACCCCAACCACACCAAAGTGGATGCACGAAGCGGGAACCTTCTCGTTTCAGTCTCTGCTCCGTGCAGCCTGCCAAGGCGAGTGGGCAAACTGAAGCTTGGGTGTCCAGCGTCTTGGCTGCCTCCCTCCTGTCCACCCTGCGTGTGCTACCCCTTGTTCATCTTCAGTGTCACCCCCCTTCTCATACCCTGAGTAGCCTGGCGCATGGCTTGTCCCCTTTTCCCATCCATCAGCTCACACCCAGGGTAACGGGGCGGGAGCCCTATCCGCAGTGCGCCCTCGCCCCCAGCTCACCTCCGCCATGCGACAGGGCAGAGGCGCCTGGACCAGGCAGGTGGAGGAGAGGGGCACTGGGGCAGAAGGCTGCGCCCTCGGGTCCTCACTCCGCGTGCCCTGCCCAATACTTACCCAGGCGCGGAGAGCGGTCAGCAGGCCCTCCGCTCCGCATCCATTAGCTGGTGGTCTGGCCGCTTCACTTCCGGAGCGCGGGGCTAGGGGCGGTGCCGCCCTCCCCTCTCTCTCTCCTTCCCTCCCCTCCAGCCCTCCCCTGCGCGCTGCTCCCCTCCCCGGCGCCGCGCCCCACCCGCGCCTCCCTCCTCCCCGCGCTGCCGGGAACTGGCAGCCTCTCGGCTCCCGCAGCCACCGCGGACGCCCTCCCAGATCCAACTTTGCCGCTTCCCCGAGCTCGCGCTGTAGCCGCGGGGGGCGTGGGCAGGGAGGGGAGAAGCGGGGTCAGGGGGAGGGACCGGGAGGGTGGGTCGCCGGCTCGCCAGCCCTCCTTCCTTTCTGTGCACCTTGCGGTGGGCGGCGAGCGGCAGCCGCGGCAGCAGCTAGGGGGCTTGTGCACACAGCAAGGGAGAGTTAGGGACTGGCAGACGGACGGACGGACGGCGAGGACCCTCCCTGAGCCCCCGAGCCATGGCCGAGAGAAAGCAATCCGGGAAGGCGGCAGAGGACGAAGAGGTCCCTGCCTTTTTTAAAAACCTGGGCTCCGGCAGCCCCAAGCCCCGGCAGAAATTCTGTGGCATGTTCTGCCCAGTGGAAGGGTCCTCGGAGAACAAGACCATCGACTTCGACTCGCTGTCGGTGGGCCGGGGCTCGGGGCAAGTGGTGGCTCAGCAGCGGGACGTCGCCCACTTGGGTCCGGACCCGCAGCCGCCGTACTCGCGGCAGGGCCGGCGCGCCGGCGGGGAGCCATCTGTTGAATCGAGCCGGAAGGTGGAGATCCGGAGGGCCTCGGGCAAGGAAGCCCTGCAGAACATCTACGACCAGGTCGGTGTGGGGGTGGGGGGTGGAGACGGAGGACGGGGCTCGGGGATCGCCCCTCCCTCGCCCCTGAGCCCGGCGCGCCCGCCTTCATGCCCCGCCCTGTACCTCGCCTCCCGCATCTGCACGCGCACCCCGCCCTACCCGCCCCTTCTCCGCGCAGGGTGCGGCGAGGCTCGGGCTGGGCGGTGGGCGACCGTGAGCCCACAAAGGCTGCCCGAGTCTCCTTGAGCTTGGGAGGTGGGGGGTGGGCGTAGGCGATGGGCTGATCACTTGCTGGGGCGGGCGGTGGTCGCCTGGGAGGGGGTTGGCCGAGGTTCCATTCTTCTGAAATCCTCCCGGGCGGCTTCCGATGGCAGCTGCGACTGGGTGCCCCACCCTTTTTTTGAGGCGGCTCGGAGCGTGCGGTGGAGGCTTTGCGTGAAGGCCCGCGGCTCCCCGGTGGTCGGGAGGGGTGGGGGTTCCGACGGCCGCTCCCCGCAGCCTCCGCCGGCGCCTTCTGCGCTCACGTCCTGAGCTCCGAGGCCAGGACCATGGTCAGCGCCCCCCGGACTGCCTCAGAGCACCGCACCGCCCTTGACTCCTGCTCGCAGCTTGAGAAGAGCCAGGGAGGCCGTGGAGTCGCCCGAGGAAACCGAGACGCTCCTAAATAGCCTATGTGGGGAACAAAGTTCCAATAAGTGTCTCAGCCAGGGCTTCACGGAGCTCTCCCCAAACCGCTATGTGGGAGGCGCTTTAGGAACCGGGGAACTAAGTGGATTATGTTCAAAGGGTCAAAAAGACAAGAAAGGGGGAAAACCCCTCGCATTCGAAATAGACTATCGAAGAAGACTAAACCCCCTCTTCCTGTGTTAATGGGGGAAACAAAGGCCGTTTTGGTCACTCTTGATTTTAAAAAATGTTTGTCACTTTCTGACAAATATGAACAGTGAGCATTTTCAGCGCAGTAATAATCTCACACTACAATTCTCTCTTCATCTGAGTGATCCTTACACTAGTGTAATTCTTTTCCACAGCCTTAATTTCTTAACTGATAATTTACAATGCAAAATGTTTTAACACGTTTTCTGTTTCTCTCCCATGTCTGGTGGTAAAAATGAGAAGTCAATCAATGAATGATTATTGATTGAATACCTACCGTGCGCCTTGCCTTGTAGGGCAGGGGGAAGGTTAGTTATACAAAGTGCAAGAGGTTTCTTCTTCTCTGAAGGCTTCCAGAGTAGTTGGGAGTGGTCTATACATATTCAGTGAGGGATCCCACAAGCATTTACATTTGTGTACTTACAGTGACAGCCTTTGAGAACAATGCAGAGTTGGTGAGGATGGTTGGGGCATGATGTGACTGTTTGCTGATGTGACATAGAGTTTTGACTTTTGTAGGGTCAAGTCTAGGAAATATAAGCCACTTGCAGTCATTTGTAAAAGGTGTCACAACTAATAATTTATATCCACCCCCAGCCCTGCCCTCTAATTTGTTCATGTAAGGGAGTGTCTCATATCCATATTTCACTATGAGTCAACCAGAAGAACCTAAACCCAAAAAACTTGCTTTGTTCCAAGTGATCAGACAATTGAAGTAAAAGTTTCTAATAATTTAACTTATACTGAAAGCTGAGTGTGTGTGAAACACTTCCCTATGTGAATACATTGGGTGAGGGCCAAAATCATACAGCATCATGGTTGAGTGAGTAGCCTCATGCATGGCGAGTTGTGCTGGTGATTCTAATGTCCTAGACAAAGCAGAAAAAACAACTGGAGAATAAAGAAGAGATCATGTAAAAAATGGCAGATCAGAGGATAGGGGTTGAAAGTGGCCACCCCTATCATGATAGCAGTGAATTAAAACTCAAGTTTGAAAGGCATAGTTTCATCGGGTTGAATAACACTTCTTTTTTCTTGGCCATTTGGACGCTTAGATGTTTGAAATTCTAAATTGTAAATCTAAGGCACACAGAGGGGGAGATTTGAAGAGAAAAATACGCAAACGAACCACCAGGCAATTTTAGATTGCAATCCACATTGGCTTCAGTTGCCCAGTTATTACTAACAGAGGGCAATTCTAGCTTGGTCTTTCTGCAGCACCTTCCCCTGAATTTTCGTGTTTAATCTTGCCTTATCATATAAGGTCTATTCAATGGGATTTTGTCATTCATGACTAAGAGCATTTATCTGGGTCAGTACTTGCAATGTTTCAATATTTCATGTCTGTACAAAAGGGGAAAGGCTGTGGCTATACATGTGTTTATATTTATAACAATAGCGACTTCTGAAAAGCTCAACTGGCCCACCGTTTTGACTGAGTTGACTTGTCATTAGTTAGTTTTCAATGAATGAGCCGGGTGAGTGCCAGCATCTCCATGCATTCTAATTGGAAGCCCTGGCGCAGAGAAAGGTAGGGGAGATTGAGAGTGGGTGGATCCTGGGACCCTGACTCACACCATCCCTCCTCTCTTGCAGCTTTATTTGTGTGTTATTAGTGTATGGTCAGACGTGGCTTTGCTCAGCTGTTGCACTAAGAGGCCTGCTGTTCCCCTAGCAAGGCTTTGGGAAGGGAGAGAACAGGCTTCCTTGACCCACATGCCGCATGGCTCATGGAAGATTAGAGATGTTGGACATGTGCATTTGCAGGAACTAAATGAAATTATGTTCAGAGTGTGAGCCAGACAGCACCAGAAAGCGATGGGTGTGGCTTGACTTGGCATGTCAGATTTTGGCAGAGAGAAAGAGCTGGTATAGTGATTGTGAATGAGGAAAGCGTCTATCCTGTTATTCTCTTTTCCCTATAAGTCCACTTTGGGCTGCAGTGAGGTTACATTGATCACCACTGTGAAAGACTCTGAACCTCTTGGAAGAGAGAGAAGAAGGGCATCTCTGTTGGCCCAATCCTCCCTTGTCAGTGCCCAGGGGTCCTTCAGCCTCTTCTCTTCCTCCTAGGAACTCCCTCCATTTCACCCCAGACACAGTGTAGTGAGAATCAGTGGCTCCACCTGGGATACTGGACCATAAGAATGCTTTCCAAAGGGGCCTCTAGGCCCTTTTCCCAGCAGTAAACAACCTATACAGGCTGGGGTGACAGGGAGTGATTCTCTTCCTCTCCAGGGCAGGTGCCACTGAGTGAACTGCACAGTGCTGCTGAGCTTGACAACGTCAATGAGTCTGTGAAGTGCTCTCTCTGGTGCTCCCTTCCATCTGGGTCCCCATCCCTTCTCCCTGTGTTGAGTCTCTTCTGGCCCTGGGAGCCTAGTGCAGTGCTGCCCTCTAACTGTCCAACATCATCCCCACTCCATCCCCATAGGATGCCCCTTCTAAACCTTTCTTCTTCCAAAGGACAACAGGTTCTAAAATCACTCTTTAGCTGCCTTTCTCCCATTCAGAATTCTTAACTTGCATTAATCTTAGTTAAAGAGAAATTCCAATGATTAAAGCCATCTGCTCCTCAGGCGAATGACTGATGCCCAAGTTGTCCCCAGAGATCCGTGGTTTGGTAACAGACTAGACTATTAAACAAAACGAATGCGTAGTTAGTGGGGTGTGTGGTGGAGATTTGGAATAAAGGCAATACCTTGATACTTTACAGGTCATATTTGGTTCGAAACAGGAGATGTGAGCATTTGTGTGTTCAAGATTCCAAAAAACCTAAGACCCACCTGGGTTCAAAAGGAGGAAAATAGAGGTGGGGAGTACTTGGAGAGGGGAAGGAAATGATGAAAATCCATAATTATTGTTTGCTCTTGATTTCCCAGCTGATTATTTAACTAATCATATAATTAGTTAAATTAAAAAATAATCTTTATATAACATAAAATTTGCCACCTTAACCATTTTTAAGTGTACAGTCCAGTGGTGTTAAGTGTATTCACATTGTTGTGCAACCAATCTCCAGAACTTTTTCATCCCCCCAAGCTGAAGCTCTGTACCCATTAAACACCAGCTTCTCATTCCACCTCTTCCCAGCCCCTGGCAACCACCATTCTCTTTTCTGTCTTTGCCAGCTTAACTACTCTAGATTCCTCATATAAGTAAAATGACACTGTTTATGTTCTTTGTGACTGGCTTATTTCACTTAGCATAATGCCCTTAAGGTTCATCTATGTTGTAATATGTGACAGCATTTCCTTCCTTTTTATGGCTGAATAATATTTGTATAATTAGTTAAATTATAACAAGTCTTTAATGATTTAAAAAGTTGTTGCTCAATTAATTGGCCTACAATAATTAATTGTGGGAGGAAGGAAGAAGGATTAGATTTGGGATGAAATAGGCTTCCCCAGGTCCGGGGCCTACAATCTAACCAGAAGAAAACTCCTGCCAGCTAACCAGCATCTACCATCTTTCCCCTTGGAGCTCAAGGATGGAGAGGAGAACTGCTGTCATTGAACCCCAGTGACAACTTCTGGCCATGACCTTTGCATGGTTGCATATGCAGTGTTGCATGGTTCACGAACTCATGGCTCTGTACCATGGAAATCAGGGTGAGGCTGGGGAGTTTTTCTAGCCTGCTAAAGACAGGCCACGTATTCCAGGGTCCTTTGTTGCAAACATCCCTCTCTACTTTCTTGAGCAAGAAGGGGAAGTCAGAATTGATTATGGATTCAAATGTATACCCTCATTGAATGTCAGAACTTGCAAGAGACCTAATGATTGTTTAATTACCTCATTCTACAAGTGAAGAAAGTGATGTCGTGAAAACTGCTTCATTCCTTGGAGCCCAGGTGATAGTCCCAGGACTGGGATAGAGGTCTCTTGTTTTCAGTCCCACTGTAGTCCTCTACCAATAAAGCTGTGTTATTTATGTAGCATTATATAACTCTAGAATGTGCTTTTAAATTCTAGATTCTACGTTTTAGAATGTTTAGAGTATATTGTTCTATTAATAAAACCTTGCCCCAACATTGTCTGATACAGGCATTATTTATTTTCTGTAAATAAGGAAACTGAGATTTAGTGATATTTACTTGCCTAATTCCTAAGGTCTTGCTATTTAGTAAGTATGTAAACTAGGATTT